TCCACTTCTTGTTGAAAACCGCAAGTCTGATTGTTTTGATACTATGCATTTTGTTCATTTTCTAATGATATCTTCTGTTCTTTAATTGAAATGCGCATTGCTAACAGCAGAGCTATCTCTGCCGAGAGGCTGCTTGTTTTTATTTTTAAACACATTCATGTACAAATAGCTGTCACTTGTTTATATTTTTGCCAACCAGCATGCAATTGTCTGATAACAAATTTCGTTCACCATGAAGTTGTCTTATTACTAGAAACACACAAATGTAATTTAATAAACAGCAGTCTAATGCTATTATTACCTTGCCCGTATCATCAAAGATGGAAGGGAAAGATATATTGAGGGGAGAATGTCTGTTGTCGATGTTGTCGTCATCGTTGTTAATAATTGTCAATGTGTGCACAATAACTTCACTAATTCTATTCCAAATTTATTAAACTCAGTCACCTAATTCGCCAATATAAAATCTTGCCTTAGTTCAAATGACAGATGACCTGTGTAAAAAAAATCGTGCAAAAATTGGGAAAATCTGATAAAATACTTTGACTGTTTCTACTTGACTGATCACTGGTGATACACATTCAAAGGTCACTGATCCCAGTGGGAATATGCATTGTTGTATGTGTTCAATGAAGTAAATCATTTATCTTATAAAAATGTCAATGGTAATGTACCGTAAAAACTTTAAAATTTCGACCAGTTTTAATTAGTTGTTTTTTTTTTGATAGTCGAATTTTTAGACTCACAAAATCAACAAAAATTGTGGACGAAATTTTGGAAGAAATATTGGTCGTTTTGGAATAACCTGGGAAGCTTTTTGTATTTCTTAAAAGTGGAATAAACAACGATAGTACGGACAAATTTGTTTGCTATAACGCGCTGTACATGCTGAGCTAGGTGTCACGACCTACATGACCTAATTTTAATACACAAGAGTGAAATAAAAACAAGCGCGTACGATAGTGCGGACAAATTTGTTTGAAATAACGCGTGGTAGATGCTGAGTTAGGGGTCACGACCTACATGACCTAATTTACACAAGAGTGGAAAAAAAAAGGGCCGTTTGATTTGTGCAGCAAAATATATTGCGGATGTTGGTGAACACCTCGAACCACAGTCCCTCCACAAACAGCCTGTTCGTTCTGTGTGAGGCTATTCTCACTGCCATCCAGTGCATTGGTTATGTGGATTAGCGGATGTCCGGGCGGATGTGTTTCACTCTGTCCCAATGTGCGAGACTGGTATTACCGGACGCTGTCGTTTGGAAAATCACTGCGGTGAAACTGTGATTTTTGGCGGTGTCTACATGAGGGAAAATAAACTGTGAATAGGCCTACGTCGCTTCAAAATACGCAAACCAGGAAGTCAAATAAGTGTTGGAAGCTTGCGAGCTTAGTTTCCAATTTATTTACTTACTCAATTTTTGTTTTATTCCATACCGAGTGTTTAAAATGCATGGGAGTTTGGCCGATGTAAAACGTACTCCGGGAAATTACATTATTACATTAGCTCATTACAGCTCCTTGCGGGGACATTCTGCTTACATTCGAGTAATTTCTGTACTCGTTCTAGTAATAATCATACTGTACTCTTTGGTCGCCCACGTCTGTAAATTTTGACTTATTTGACGATGACACAAGTCAAGCGTCTAAGCAATCACAGAACCGGATTCATGCAGTGGGGGCTGTCCTTTGCTTTATATGCAAATTGTTTTTCTCAATGACTGGCAAAAATGTTGCGTCTGGTTTTATTTAGGATCAACCTTTTTAAGAGCAAATACAGACTGTGATTGTTATTCGAATCAACCTTTTTTCAAAAGCAAATACAAACTCTGATGTTTTTTTTATTAAATAATAAATTTTATAGATATATAAATAAATACATGTGACTTCAATGTTATTTTAGTTCATGCAAATTACGTGGAGGCAAACCTGACCTAGCTCACACTCGACGAGTACAGGATTACAGAAACCCGTAATCTGACAGAGTTGGTGCGAATTACCAAGAGCTCCGGAATATGAAAGTTTGGTCGAATTTTCAGAGTCGCTAGGTTGTAAAATTACGTAAACTCGCCAAAAACACCGGTGGCCGAATTTCTAAAGCTTTCGAAATTTTTTACGGTATCTCCCAAATCCCATGGGAATACTAGACTGGGTTTCAAAACCAACTCATGAAGAGAGTTTTTGCACAGTCTGATACACGTTTGCAAACCTACCAATAAAATCTTTACAGAAAACAAGATGTCAGAAAATCAATATAAGCACTCCTATGAATTGGGTGCCAAACTTTTTATTAAGATCTGCAGTCAAAAGAAAATCTGTTAACGCTAAAATACATAAAAAGCAAAAAGTTGCATCCACATTTTAAAAGAAAAAAAATGTTTTGTTGAAATGTATAAATTTTTTAAATTAAAATTCACAGGAATTTGTTTCAGCTATTAGAACAGAATGATATAGCTTTTATAATACTAGTTTAAAAATGTACTTCAAAAACAAAGATTGCAGTGTTTGAAGATGTAGATTCTCAGGAGGCAACAGTATTGTTGACTTCGCTTTTCACTGGACACCAACCAACAGTTTGATTTAATTTACATACAAAGCAGATCTTGATAAATGCGAAATTATAGTTATTCCTAGAGGG